GGACCGAATATCAACAGTGACACAAGGAGCACTCCCCAGTGGATATTAGAACAGAGTCCATCCTCACCCCACCCATCCTTTCAGGAAGAGCCTGGGTAAATAGAAAGGCTTTCTAAGAGCACAGAAGGCCAACAAATGCAGCTTCTATAGACTGAGTCTGGCAGTGAAATTTGTCATCAAGGACGTTTTACTGACGTCCTCCATCTGCCATCAATTTGGAGACACACAAGTCAACAGATGTGACTTTAACTGCTATGTTGTTTGGTAATGGAGGGTGAAGGTCTTAGAAGTAGGTTACGTTGGAAGTGGAAGTGCAGCAGTTTGATACAGGATGAATGATCTCATTTCTTTGGGTGGACCACAGAGAAAAGCAATCTGTGATAGATGTAAAGGCTTCTAGATAACAAAGTTGTGTGGGAAAGAGCTTGCTGAATAAGTATAGTTGCAACTAATTGAGGAATGTGTTGGGAGGGCAGTGCTGTGAATGCAAGGTGGTTTTGCAGGCAGGAGGAAAGGAAGACAGACTGGCATTTGAGTGAATCATGGGGTAAAGAAAAGGCAGATCTGGGCTGCCTGTTTAAGTTAAAAATCTAGTCTTAAAGGCTTTTGCTCTGTTTGGAAATTTTTCACGTATTTCTGACACCCTTGAGGTGGAGTCAAAGCTCAAATCCACAGCTCTTCTTTCTCCCTGCTTCCTATAGAATGGAGTAGAGTGATCCAGTTTAAATTAGGTGTAGGGTTTTTTTTTCATCTCTGTGAAAAACAGAAAAGGATTTAGATTCATCAGGTTTAGCTTACAACTGGCTGAGGGCAGGTAGTGCTACAAAAAAAATTTCTCTTTAATCAGAATGCACACTGTTTAGAACAGGGACCAGATCATCCCCTATCTTTATAAAATGCCTACTGTAGTAAGCTTCTGAGCTTGATCAGGAAATTTCAGTGTTGTCATAATTCAGATAATAAATAATATCATAGTAGTACTGGGTAAGAAACTCTAAAACCAAAGTGCCTCAGGTAATGGTTGAACTGATTTGCTGTTTCAAGTGGAAACCAGTTGAAGCTGGATTGTATGAAATGGTTTCAGCCCCATAATCATCCTAGCTATTACCAAGTTTTTTACTGGGTTATAACTTTATTTAAACTCAATGCTCGACATAAAAGAGAGAGGGTGCTGAATCTCTCTGAAGAAGTTCTGAGGCAGATGGCCTCATCTCCTGTATTCCCAATGCAGCAGAGTTATTTTCTCCTCTAGTCTCGAGAGTCCCCCCCATTCAGTCTGAGGGTAATGTTTTACATTTACTCAAATAATCAGGATATTTTGTTGTTAACCTGAGCAGGTTTGGGGTTTCAGTCCTGGGGATATAAGTCCGTCTTATCCGCTCAACAGTGCAGAACGTCTGTTCTTGCTTGTTATCCCTACCTAGTGTGGTGGGAAGCATCCTCTTACATAGACGAGATTCTCAGTCTCCTGCACTTGAGTTGTGCTGCATGGGAAGTATGATAGACTTAGAACTTATGCTTTACTAGAACAACTTACAATAATGCACAGAGGTTACACTGCTTTTTCTCATGTCAGAAATGGACAAGGCAACAGGAGAAGCAGCCAACATTCTACTATATTTTTTTTCCTTTGAGTTGACATTTAGACTCAGAGCTTGTTATCTTTGGTAACAAGGTGTAAGATGGTTTCCAAGTCATCATCTTTTCATCTGAATATTTAATAAGAGGTGTTGCATATCTGAAGGCTTGGCATACCTCTTTGAGATCATGCTGTGCTGTGCTCTCGTTGCCTGAGATAGCTGGAACAGCTAACTGCAGAGAGAGACTGGCCTGCAAAGATTTTGAACAGTTATGCAGAAGGTGACAAATGGTTTTAACGTTAGTTTAATTTAGTTGTGGGGTGTGTATGCATGCTGGGCAGCAAGGCTGCTCTCCAAGGGTGGAGAAACAATACAGGCCAGCGTGGATCACATTTCCATGATATTTCCATCTGTCTGATATACAGAGCTGAAATCTCGGAGTCATACTTTTTATTATTTGTTTACTCTTGATCTAAAGTATGTCCAAAGATGTAGGCAAGTGGAAGATGAGGCCTAAAGAGCTCCCAAATTGATTTTACTTGTGACGGGTAGCTAGGGAGAGCTGTAACAGTGGGAGAGTGAGGATCAGTCTTCCCACTCCCAGTGGAGGGAATTCATGAATTCATGTGTCTGCCTGTGGTTTACTTTCTACGTGAAATTTGTTTGACACCCTAGGCAGCAGAGGAGATTACTTAGTTATCTAAGGAAAAGAAAGTGACTTGCCAGCTGAGTTAGTGTGAACAAACTCAGTGCAGGACCATTGAGAGAATGGCGAGATGAACACTGTAGCCAGAAGAGCGTATTTTTCATGGGCAGAAACGGCATTTGTCTAACCTGCACCATCTTTCCTATGACTGAAAATCTCATGGAAAGTCAAAGGTAGTTAGGATGACTATGCTGACTCGTTTCATAAATGATCCTGCTGTCAGTTTGCTCACAGCATGGTCATTAGCCCATTAATTAACATAGCCAACCTGAAATGGCATTTTCAGCCTATTCTGCTGCCAGTCTGTGGTGGCTACCAAGGCTCACTCCAGAAAACCTTGTACTTCTGAGGCAAGCGAAACAGCCTGTAGAAGTACAATCTGGGAAGTAGCGTTAACATAACTGTAAAGAAAATACGCTGTATTTTCTTTAAATACACAGACCTATAAAATACTGCTATTAGTTGTTGATATGACTATTTCCAGATTACTGGGGATGTTTCACGCACCCGTGCTGGTGAACGGAACAGAATACTTAAGGTGATCCTTATGGGTGGAGCCCGTACCTGGTGTACTTGGTCGCTGTAGAAAACTGCTGTGATATGCTGTGAGGCAGTGGATATAGTTAAGAGGATATTGAGAGAGATTGTCAGCTTTCTTAACAGATGATCTATGTGATAAGTGTCCAAGGACAGGAAATGCATATCTGTTTTCATTTGACTTATTTAATGGGTAACATTCGGTTAGGGTTTTGCTTAGAGTATTTTTTTTTTTATTTCCTTTTTTTGGTTTTCTGAGCAACTGGTGGTTTTATAAAGGCATTTTAAAGAGACTTTTTAAAGCAGTTGTTCTCCTTGCTGCGTAGGAGTGTTCTGTGTGAGTACAGAGAGTAGGATAAACTACTTCATCCTCCCGTGGTCTCACTGCAAAGACAAATCCTGAGCCATAGGCACTGGGAATTGACTCAGTCATGGCCATCATCCAGCTGCCACAGGCTAAGAGCAGCATGCCTTCTCCTGTGCCCTTATATTTGGAGTTCAGAGCTAAAAGGATCATAGGCTTCTTGCAGCCAGAACGTCTTACTAAGAGGTGGGCTTTCTGTGGTTAGTTTGCTAATGCAGTTTTATTTCAGTCTCTTCCTTCTACAAATTAAAGAGCCCATTGGTTTATTACTCATTTATATGCTTTCTGTTCTAGACCTAAACGAAATGTTGATCCCCCTTTAAATTGCTTACAAATGACAGGAAGTGTTTTTCCTTGCCTCCCCTGCATCGTCTCTAGTGCTGTTAATTAAACTTCTTACTTTCTTCCTCTTCGCCCTACTGTGATCCTTCATGGCCATGCTGCCCATGGTTTCCACCCTCTTTGAAAGGACCTGTTTCTACAAAGAAAAGGTTGCAAGCTCTCAAAGTGGAACATGAAAGAGGGAAATCAAATCCTTCATGTACTACGCCAAGAAAAGTTGATGAAAATGCTGTTCCAGGTCTGGCAAGTGGCTCAGCCATGTTGGGTTTTAACTTCTATTTTTAATTTTTAAAGGAAATTTGGCTTAATTCAATCTCTGCTGAACGTATGTTTTACTTGTCTTTCAGAAAAAGAGAAAAACAGTACCAGAACAAGGCAATGGGAGAAGCTGAGACCAAAAGACTTCAATTCATGACTGAATTAAAATATTTTCATAGTTTTATTGTTAAAATAGTCCTTAAAACACAAGTTGAACTCTGCTTGGTTTTACTCGGTGCGGAGCTCTTTTTTCTCTATGTGCATTGCCGTACAGCTAACTTAAAAGGGTAACTACATAAGGAAGGGTGACTTCATAAGCATCATGTGTCAGACCATTGCTGGAAGCAAAGCAAAAAAATGTTCTGCCTGGGTCTGGCACACGTTAGCTTCCTATTTCACTTTCCCTGCACAAAAAGATAAGAGGAATGCAGGCCTTTCCCTTTATCTCACACAGTAATAATGCACCTCAGCAAAGATTTGAATGGGCTGCAGGATTATTAGGATTGTAATGTCTTGCTTTCCTTTTCAAGCAGGATGAAACTAAATGTAATCATCTGTTGGGTTAGATGAACACAATGGGTTCTCAGCCGTAGGCTTTCATCACAGCAGCAGTCTTGTATGATTTGGCCTGGCAGAGCTCCGGGCTCACAAAAAATTTGTAGGTGTCAGATGTTTGGCACTTGGAACCAAGCACTGAGAGCCATTGTCATACTTGCGTCTCCCTGCTTTCTAGTCTTTCAATTTTAGAATACCGTCACCAATTTAAGCATGTTCTATTTAGAGGAGGCTAATGAAAAGCTTCTTGGCCAAGTCCAGTTTCAGTTACATGGGCTTGAGCGACAAGTCTGCTCAAACGTTGTTGTGCGCATTCTGGCGGGATCACGGTCCAGTCTAGCAGGATGTTTGCTCAGCTACAGAGCTGGGCTTTTATGGTCTTGGTATTTTCTAGGAGTGAACTGACGGTGTGGTGTGGCTGCTGCCTTCACTGTGACTATTTTGTCAACATCATTTCTGAAAAAGTAAACAAAACCAAGACTTGAAACTATGCATCTCAACTTGACAGTTTATTTTCTAAACAGCATATGGAGCAGCCACTGTAGCCATGTTTACTGTTCTCTGATCAGCTGCTTTTTGTACTTTTTAGTCACAGTGACACAGTGACACACATATGCTGCAGGCCCATTTTTTCCATATTCCTAATCTTCTTTTGCAGGCTTTCCTACCAGAGAAATGATGACGATGAGGAAGAAGCCGCCAGAGAACGTCGCCGACGGGCTCGACAGGAGAGGCTGCGGCAAAAGGAAGAAGATCTATCAGGAGAAGTAACAGAGAAATCAGAAGTTAATGCCCAAAACAGGTAAACATCTGATGTTGTTTACTGACAAGTTAACAGTAATTTTTGTTCAGAGTATAGAAGTACCTTGAAGACATCTGTTTTGCTGCTTAAATTTTAAGCACCAGGTTTGGCCATCCTTGCTCTGAAGAGGACCTAACATGGTGAGGGGTGCCGCTGGCTGTGTCTGCACACTGGCGTGGGAGTATCGCTGAAGCTGGGCTTGAGGCCATGCTCATAACCCATTCCCAGGGTGTTCTCAGGGCTGTTTATGGGGTAACTCAGCTGGGGCTCATGAAGAAAATGTCCCTGATCCATCCCGCTGTCAGGTTCCCTCAGGCATGACTGCATCTGGCTTCACAAACCTCCACATCTTTTGTCCTGCTTATAGGGACCATGCGGCCAAGGCACATGGAATTGGTGGACACCCAGGCCTCAAGTTGCAGCTGAAACATTCCTGCCAGGTGTGAGTGGTAGACTTTGGCCCTCATCTGACATTGTCAGGGTCACACAGCTACAAACAGCAGAGAAGCTCATGGAGCGAGGCACCACTTGTCACAAGCTGAGCGGGCAGAGCTGGCTTTCCAGTCTGCACATTATTTATTCCATTTCACATAGTCACAAATAATATATCCAGATTTCCAGTAGCCATAACACAATTGACAGAAGAAACTGGAAATAAATGTTGTGCTGTCAAGCTAATAGATACTGAGCACAAGTAGCATTATGTTAAAGGCAAGGAGAATGGATATAGATAGAAAAAGAACAACATTTCTGATGGTAGATTGTAATCTCTTTCCACAATAGAGGGGGAAAAAAGCTAAAAACAGGCAAGAAACCTGCACACAGGAGAATTAAACAGCTGAATTTTGAAGGAGTCAAAAAACCTCCAGGGACTGAGAGCAAGATCCAATCCTGATACCTACAGACATTGAATAGCATGTCTTAATTTAAGTGCTCACTCCTTTTTCTAACATATTATTGTCCCTGTACAGACAATTACAACCTCACTGCACCCGTAATTGCCAGGCTATCCCCATTACGGGCTGTATCTGTGGAGGTTGTTGCTGGACACGAGTAGCCTCTTATTGATAGAAAAGTTTATTGAAGTCAGATAATATCTTGCTTGTGTAGCATCTTCAATAATTTTTCCTGGTGGGAAGACTGTGTATAAGACATGTACACCTCAGGCCAAGCTGAAGGGGGCCTTAAAGCAAGCTAAGGTCTTCCAGGTATTCTCCTGCAGGGTGTAGAGGGGGAGGATGAATTTTTCAGGGCTGTCCATGTTTCAGCTCCTCCAAGCGTCAGGGACCATTCCAGTGCCTACTAAGGTCAGTAAGACTCCTGGGGGCTTCAGCAGCTGTTGGAGCTTACCTAGAAGGGTAACTTTCCAGGCTCTGACATTGTGAAACACCACATTCCTATACACGTAGAAATGCCAAAATTAATCCTTGGAACCATCTTGCTAAATTTTGAAGTATACAATGTTTTTAAACTATGGAATGATGTTGCAGCAAGTTTTTTTTTCTAGAAACAGTTAAGTGCATGCATTGTTAGAAAGGCTTTTTTTTAATGCAAAATTGTTACTTTTATGTAGCGTGGCAGAAGAGGAAACGAAACGTACTACCACCACAGGGGGAACAGATGACGAAGCTGCATTGTTGGAGAGACTGGCAAGACGGGAGGAGAGACGCCAAAAACGTCTACAGGAAGCCCTGGAACGTCAAAAGGAATTTGACCCCACGATCACAGATGGGAACTTGTCACTGCCCAGCAGGAGAGAAGTAAACAATGTGGAAGAAAATGAGACTACAGAGAAAGAGGAAAAGGCTGAAACACGCCGAGGACGCTATGAGATTGAAGAAATGGAAACGGTTACCAAATCATACCAAAGGAACAACTGGAGGCAAGATGGCGAAGAGGAGGAAAAAAAAGAAGAAAAAGACAAGGAGGACGTACAGGAGGAGAAACCAAAGGAGGTCCCCATAGAGGAAAATCAGGTAGATGTGACAGCAGAAAAATCTACAGATAAAGAAGAGGTAGTAGAAACAAAAAATCTAGCTATAAATGCAGAGGAACACAAAGCAGAGAATGATACAAATGCTGTGGCGGAAGGGGAGCGGAGTATAACTGATGCTGTAGATAAAGATAAGCTTAGGGATGAGGAAAAGGCTGAGGAAGAAAGGAAGAAAGCAGAAGAAAGGGAGAAACTTGAGGCAGAAGAAAAGGAGAGGTTAAAAGCAGAGGAAGAAAAGAAGGCAGCTGAGGAAATACAGAAAGCAGAGGAGGAGAAAAGGGCAGCTGAGGAAAGAGAAAGGGCTAAGGCAGAGGAGGAGAAAAGGGCAGCTGAGGAAAGAGCAAGGGCTAAGGCAGAGGAGGAGAAGAGGGCAGCTGAGGAAAGAGCAAGGGCTAAGGCAGAGGAGGAGAAGAGGGCAGCTGAGGAAAGAGCGAGGGCTAAGGCAGAAGAGGAAAAGAGGGCGGCTGAAGAAAAGGCTAAGCTAGAAGCAGATAAATTAAAGGAAAAACAAAAGATGGAAGAAAAGAAAATAGAAGATAAACAGGTAAAAGAGAAGAAAGTACAAGAGGAAAAACCTCAAGCAGCTTTCCTAAGAAAACAGGTACAGTAAACATTTTGCACCAAAATAAGACACCTGTGGTTTGTGAGAAATGTAATGCAAGGAAAAAAAGAGATTGAATTGGAATTTCCTCACAGATCTATTCCTGCATTGAAATGATTAATGCTTGCACTCTCTCCCTTGCTCTCTCTCTTTAAACGCTTCTGCAGTGTGCAACATGCCTGACCTCACTCCGTCATTCAAAGAAAACCTTGCATGTTCAGATCTCTGCATGTTTTTTTGCTGCCTTTTTTCTCAACTGCTATAAACTGGCCTAATGCAGTAACACATGAGGTAGAGGCAGACACATCTTTGCACAAAACATTAGGAACACCCGGTAAACTGTGTGAGGAACACGTGTGTTAAATGCAATCACAAGAGAGGGTGCTCTGCTGGGACATGTGAGCATGATGCCACGCAAGGGAGAAAGGCCCAGGTGGGGGAATGGAAGCATTTGGAGAGGGTGGAGGGAGCACAACTGCACACGGAGATGTGGGCACCGCAGCATATGATGGAGATGTGGCTGCACACAGGATTGGTACATGAACACAGTGTGGAGAAACAAAAGTGCAAACAGATGTGATGCTTCATATTAAAATTATTCAAAACCCAAAAACAAAGGGGGAAGAAAAAGAGGTTAAAGTGGAAGCTAAAAAGGAAAAGTTACCAGATGAGAAACTCCGACCTACCTCCA